GGGCTGGCTCGAGGGGCGTGCACCGACCTTACAGTTTCGCCGTAACACGTGACCGTGACCCCGATTCACTGCAACGTTCCCCCAAAGAACATATATGTGACTAAAACATACTAAAACAAACTATCTAAAACTCATTGCAACGCGACGCAACATCAAAACTTCTGAACTGGTAAACTGATTTCTGAATCAAGCATCATCAAACACCCCACCAGAACAAAAAACACATCACATAATCCCCACCTATCAAGCATCATCTGAACCATCACATCTCCATATTGTGGATCATATGTTATTTTACGTTATTTTATTGTTATATGTTATATGGTTCATACATATGTTCATCATGTCCTCTCAACAGTCTTCAAAACACATCTTCCAAGACCTCTTTCTTTGCTCTCATCAAAACCCGATCCCTCTCATCCCTCTCCCCCCGCCTGGAGGCGCCAAAAGCACCTCCCGGCGGCCTTCGGAAGGCGTTCCGGCGAAGAAGCTCAAGCGCACGCGATGCAGGAAGGTCTTCGCCGAAAAGGTGCAGTCCCTGGGTGGGTGAAAGGAACCGGGACCCTAGCTGGTGAGAGTCGGGTGAGAGGTTCTGAGTTTAGATGGGAGGTGCGGAGGTGAGTTTAGTGTGCTGTTTAGATGAAACTCATTTCCAACAGTTTAGATCAGCTCCATCGTTTGCTTATGTTTGCTTGGTTGGTCGCCAAGTCTGGCCTTTGGAAGACCTCCTCCGAAGTGTAGAACTGATCTGAGACCACTGGGTACCCGCTAAAGGAGAAGTGACTCCGAAGTTGATGCCGCCGGCCTGGAAGCTTCGCGAACGCACGGCCCGGTGCTGCAACATCTGCAAGGCGAACGGAAGAACTCAACAAGAAGAACGTAGAACACGGCTGTTCTAAGGTCTTCATGAATCCACAAACAGGAACACCGGGTTCACCCCGAGGTTTGGTTTTTCTTCCACATCTGGGCACTGTGACCGATGTGCCTGTACCGATGCGTGCTGCTGCCATGGTCATGGCCTCCTGTTTCAAGAAGCCTTGGGCCATGGGTTTGACCTGGGCAGTTCACAAGAAAGCGAACGGTGATACGAGAAAACCCAAAGAATCCTCCACATCTTTCGAAGTAGGTGACATGAACACAACCCTCTGTAAGGAAATAACTATCTCAATCTATCTCAGTATCAAGCTGTTCCTGTATGTCCCAGCATGAGTTTGAAGCATATCAATGGCAGTTAGTCACATGCCCTTGGCTCTGACAAGGGTCCATGGGGCCATCTCCATGGTCCTTGGGGCCATCTCCATCTCCATCTGCTTTCATCACCGAGGGGCCCAGGATTTGGAGGGCTTCCCCTGCCCAGCAGCTCGAGTTGGCTCATTCCCTCGCCATGCAAGGCTTGCATCGAAGTGATGGCGCTGGCAAAGCCCATGGCAAAGCAGCAAATAGTCCCGCTCGATTTCACCTGGAGACCGTTCCTAGTGGATCTCAGTTACCACTATATAGGGAACCAGGGATTCTAGGTCTATGGTTTTAGTCTTTGGAACCACTGGTTACCAGCTATAGTGGTAACTGGATGCCCTGGGGTTGGCACGGCGCTTGGACCGCTTGGACTCTTGGAAGGCACGGGTCGATGGAAGCCCGATGGGCGGCTTCATCAGGCTTTATTTGTGGGAAAGGCTTCTCTGGCAAGAAAGTCCCTGTGGCACAGTTCTGTGACAGAAACGAGTCCACCCACCAAGAAGCAGTTCAATACAAGCTTGAAGCAAACAGTCACACACGTCGTAACACACGAGGGGCAACTGACATCACATGCAGTCTGAAACCCACATATCATCACATCACGAGGGCACTCCTTTAGGACTTGAAAGGATTGTCATTAACGTTCAGAACTCCATTTGTTGAAAAACAACTGCAACCCAAGAGAACACACACTGAACTCCATCGTTTCTATGCTAGAATTGAGAACCCCTCACAGCAAAGCTGTTTGGGGAAAAAATAACACATTTTATATAGACTTGGCTTCCTCATTCCCTTCGCGCGGCCTGGAACGCTCTCCCCACTTCGACCGATCTCCACATCTACCGACCGGTGCGTGGCCTGCATGCAACTGCAGCTGTAGGTCGAAGAATGCCTGGGAGGTATGAGTTGACTGCGATGGACGAATTGCTCTGCAATGGATTCTTTAGAAGTATAGGAGTTAACAAGTCATTGGCATGAGAAACCCTTTGATATGCCACCCTCTTGTGAAGTCCTGTAGCTTAACTTGAGGTATGTGGACATTTCCTTGGGGATATGTGGAGATTTTCTTGACACCAAAATTGTACGACTTCTCTTGTGGAATGATCTGGACCTGGACCATCCAACGTCTATGATGGATATAGTCACTTGTAGATACTGCTCAGATGCTTCTGACACGTTTGATTGTGAGGCCCCATGAACTGCTTCTGAGCAGCGATCTACATTAGTTGCTCAAGCTGAGATATAGAATATAGAAAAATTTGCAAAGGCAGGGAATTATTCACTGTGGTCCACATGCTGGGAAGAACATCTTCAAGTCTTCAGTGTTACAGTGTGTGAAGTGTGATCCTTTTCCTAGTAGGCTTGCGCAGTCACCAATTCGGCTGCGCTGGGCACAAATGACCCAAATCTAAAGCAATAAGGAATCATCTAACCACCTGGGATTTCTCCAATCCCAGGACACCGTTGTTCCAAGAGTATTTCAAATAGCCAAGAGTCTATTCTGCTTACCTCTGCTCATAAAGGACCATCACATCATCCGCTGCTTCGTGTGGCGGGCGTGGAACAGTCAAGGATCCCGGTGTGAACATGGGCCGTGTAATTTATACCGGTCCCAGCAAGTATACCGGTCCCACCAAGTTTATACCGGTCCCTACCAGGAAAAGAGCTTGGTGATCATTGATGGAACTTCAAGGGATTGCACCACTTTTCTCTGGCCAGTGCTTTTCTTTTCATCATGTTCCACACGTTTGCTGTCAGGGTGTATATGTGTATCCAATTAAATCACTCATGCATGCAATCTATCTATGATCCAATGAAGTCCAAGACTAAACAAATCAACGTTATATCATGTACAGTAATATCAATGATCCATCCGTCCGGCCAGGCACTCCCGCAGACTCCTTCCGACCGCCGAGCGCGAGTTCCTCGCCGCGAGTTCCTCGCCTGGTAGCTGCTGGCGCAGAGGATCAGACCGCTGGTCGGCACGTCCAAGCGGTGGAGGAATCCGAAACGATGCTGAGGATCCCGCGCCAGGGGACCATCTGCAAAGCGCCGGACATAGGTCCTCAGCCGGTTTTGGCAAGGCGCCAGGGTTCAGGTTCAGGTTTTGGCCTTTCCAGGTTGCTAGGGAGCCCACCAGCCTTGGCCAGGGTTCATGGGGTTCATTTTTGCGCTGAGGAGCTCAGCCCACCAGCCATGGCCAGGGTTCATGAGGGTTTAGATCTGTGGATGTTTGTTGTGAGATGTTGTGAGTGTCTGAGACTGGAAGGCCATGGAAAGAAATTGAACGGAAAGAAATTGAACGTCATGAAGCTCCAGGGACTCTGCGGCTGTGGGGGTGGTTGACATGTCTGGTTGAAGGACGGTTGAAGGCCCAAGGAAGCCTGAAGATTGTCTGCAAGGGGTAAGACGTCTTGAAGCAAATCGGTTTAAAGGTGTTACCGCTCCTCGACCATCTCCACGAACCGAACCTGGTCTCCCAGGCACGTCATGCTCCACTGTCTAAGAGTCTTTATGAGCTTTCCTAAACGACCCCCAACGAAGCTGCCGTGAACTGCCTCTTTTTGTGGCCGTCCAACAGCCCAGCTCCCCAGCTCGGATGCAGAGGAGCTTCAAGAGTTGATTTGGGAAGTTCTCCCCGAAGACTTCCCAGCCACTCGGTTTGAAGAGCACCATTCGCTCCGACCACCGTTCGGCCACGCACGGCGTGTCCGTCGCGACGGACACGCCGGCTCGTCCGTCGGTTGGGGGGAGGCGGCTGTAGCCCAAGAAGGGCTGGCGTCGGTCCAGGTGGGCACCGTAGCGGGCACAAGTGGCACGCAGGGCACGCAGAAAGGGCAGCCTCCTGAGGTTGGGAGTCCGGAGTCGGAGTCGAAAAATATCAGCCCTACCCGGGTGGGTGGGGTAGCCCTGCCTCCTTGGGTTCAGGCAGGGTTGTTCATGTCAGAGGTGTTTGGGGCCTCGAAACATAGGGATCAGATGTTGCACCTGATAGAACAGATCCTCTCCGACATGGTGCCTCAAAACGGGAGAAAGGCGAAGGAATGGGACGTTTAATGATGGTCATATTCTGTCATTTCATTTCTCATGTCTCTGTCTCTGGTGCTCGGCTCTACATCCTGGCATGACTCCTGCCACTGAAGAGGGTCTACTAGGAGAAAACAACTTCTGAAGCATGGAGGTTGTTCTCCCTCGGCTCTCCAAGGCTTGTAAGATCCCAACATGGGCAGCGCATGACAATACCATTCTAAAAAAAAATAACTCCCAAATCCTAAGACCAATTCATACCTTTTGAACATTTCCTTCCAAGAACGACCCACACACTGTCCTTCTCGCTCCCCTTTTGCATTTCCCAGTCACAGCATATCTGCGAAGCGACACGCCCAGGTCGTCCCCAGTGCTGCCGCCACCACGTCCGACCACTCAGAGACTGGAGCATCTCGCGTGGGCGCCGTGTGCGCCCTGCGCGCCACGTGCCGGAGCATCTCCGCTTGGAGGGCATCATAGAGTGCCTCGGGTGGGCGTCATAGAGCGGGCTCTGGGCCCTGAGTCGCAATGGAAAGGATGAGATGAACATTGGACGTTTTGGGGTGGATGATGTCCATGTTTATTAGCGTGTAAATGCACAAGGAGGAGGTTGAAAGCAGTTTGGGACCGAGCATTCAAAAAGGCTGTAACTGGGTTCAGCTAGCTATTGTGGAGTCTGAGCTCTACAGTTGCAGAGGAAAGCAACAATGCTTGCTTCCTTCAAACATCTCATCCGTGGCCGAATGGTGCACACAGTCTGTGGCAAGTCAATGTTGGGATGTCGCTCTTGATTTTCTCCAACTTGCCTTGCGGTCTTTCTTCTATGTGGTCATTTCAGTCTTTTCACCTGTGCCAGGCAGTGCCCCATCCCCACTAGGCCCAGGTGGCAGGATCCGGAGCGCTGCTGAAGCCCCACGCTGTGTTCACCAAGTCGTCCAGGCTCAAACGCGGCCGATCTTCACCCGTCCGTCGCAGCCGTGCCACGGCTTCCCGCGCCAAAGGACCTTGGACCTAAAGGCGGTGACCCTTCCGTCATGACTGTGCGTTGAAAGGTCTGTAGCTCGGTATGGAGCCATGACCGTACCTGCAGTAAACTGGACCTGCCAGTACACTCGTCCAAATGCTGGAACCATTGAAGAGAGGTCATGCAGGGGATCTGCCGGGGTCTGCCTATTCTGGAAGAGTTTATACACTGATCTCTTCTCAATCATAAACTGAAATCGTTTAGGACCACTACTTAGGCCATCTTAGGCCACTACTGGTTTCAGTTGAGGCCAGGACAGCCGGAAGGAGCACCGCCGACATTCCCAAGGACCAAGCTACCTGAACCGTTTGAGGCACGTCTGAGCGGCAATCCCAAGATCTGCAGGGCTTAGAAGATGGTTGGATTGGACTGTTAAGCTATACCATGCTATACCCCTTGACGAACACGGGGTGTGTGTAGAGGAAATATGGTCTTCCCACAGGCCATCTTCCACTTCCATGTTAGTGACTCGGAGGGTAACCAGCTCAGAGTTCTGAAAGGCGCTATGGATTCGGAACCTGCCCACCCAAAACCGAAGCGAAGCGCGAGCGACTGTTGGGAGTCCAAGAGATTTTTCTCGGAAAGCGGTTTCGCTGAGTTCGAAGGGGTACCAAGTGATCTTGACCTCTACCTCCAGAGCTCGATGAGAAAAAACAATCCAATACCATATATATATATATATCCCTAGGGCTCCAAATACCTTCTGAGAAGGTGTTTGGGGTGGGTTTAGAGGGTCCAAATACCTTCTGAGGAGGTACTTGGAGCCCTAGGGTATAATATAAAGGAACCAACTCTGGACTGAGAAGTTGTGATCGCTCGCCAGTGTCCTTGTCAGACTGACGGAGCTGGTGCCCCTTTCTCCGGAGGTCAAGTGCCCGTGTGCCCGGAGGCAAAGGCTTGAAACATGAGGGTCCAACTGGGAAAAGGCGCGAGTGTTGGCATCCATTGGGTCTATCCTAATACCTGTAACAGTGGATGATGATGGTTAGTAAAGGCCTTGTTCAAAAATAGTGACCATTGTTTACTGACTGTTACAGGTAAGTTCCGACAAACCCAAGGCATCCATCATGTCAAGACGAAATTGGAATAAACAGGAGCTGTTCCCATCAGAGACTTGAGAGGAGGGAGACACGAAAGGTAGGACAGCGGGAAGAGAAGAGAACGCGAGAGGCAGGAACAAAAATGCAATGTTCAAAAATATTCTTAGGAAAACAAACTTGCCCCATGGATCAGATCATCGGTGAGCATTGAATCGGAGCATCATAGGATTTGAACTATCCTGAAACCATAAGAGGCTCACGAAGACGCTCCCCAGGAGAGAATTGACGTGCTTCACAAAACAAACTCTAGGTATGTATCCCCTCGGGGAACACCTTTCGTGATTAGAATTTCATATGCACTCTTTCTGAATGTTCAAGAGGGTTTCAACTATCCGGAAATCATGAGAGGCTCACGAAGACGTTCTCCAGGAGAGAATTGAATTTAGAGGGGGGGTCTGTATTGAAAAATCAATTCCAAGGGGGCGGGGGGGGGGGTCTGTATTGAGAAATCAATTCGAGGGGGGGGGGTTGAATTGAGTGATCAATCATTAGACCCGGACGTCCCAACACTTGCTTCGCAAGACAAACTCAAGGTATCCCCTAAAGGGCTACCTTTCGTGATTAGGCGTTTTTTCCACGAATCCGGAGACCTTGGATTCCCTACTGCCCTACTGGATTCCCTGGGATGTGAAGCTACAGCTGGATTTGGAAAGAACATGGGAAACGGCTTCATTTCACTGAAAGGGGCAGCTCCACCCCATTGTTTATGCATAGAGAGTATAGAGCTGCGGCCCATATCTACTTGAACTAGTCAAATGAATCCCAAAATGGAAGGATATGGAACGCATATTCATGATTATTCTATGCGGACACACGCACAAGTTCGATTCGAACCACACAGAATCGGGTCGAAGTCATCTGGATTCAGCCTACGTGGGAATCGGGTAGGTCGTAAATTGGAACTGACATCGGTCATGGTGGTTTCCACTATATACTAAAATGGGTCCCACAGAAGCTTGCTACAGGTATATCTGATATGATTGGAATTGGAGAGGGTAAGTCATGACACCCCACCAATCCCAGCTCCGACGAGGAACATTTGAAAGTTCCTTGCTGCTCACAGTGCTAAGAGTTCCTCCGCCAGGGTGAAGCGACTCTGCTTTCGCACTGAGCTAGCTCTTAAAATAAGAAGAAGGCCACCCCAAATGGAAGAATTGGTCAAACATCATTCGTTGCGGTCCCCTCTTTTCTAAATAAATACACAGTCACACCATGTCACACCCTATATCCCACATGTGATCTACTTGAACATGCCTGGCGTAGAACATGTTGAAGCCGAAAAGCCTAGTAGAATCCACAAATCAAATAACACCCCGCAGTCGAAAATACGCCTCGCTTCTCCAGAAGCTCCACACACGCCAGATGCAGCCAGGCAGGATCACTGATGCCAAGCCGTGCCAGGGACCATGGCAACATGCTGATTTTCAAGTCCAGCGGCAACCAAAGGGACTCCCAAAGTACTGCAAGGCCCAAATCCGGCCGCTCACCACGATCCTCGACGAGACAAGCACGCCCACCACGGATCGCGACGGATCGGCTTCGCGTCGATCTGAGCCGGTGAGCCGATGTACTTGTGGACTTGCAAGTTGCGGTCGTACAAGAGCCTGTTAAAATGTTTGGGGGGCCAGTACATAAATGATTTCGGATGGAGACAAGCGTTAATTTATGTTAATGTCCCACTTGGATTTGGACATTCACACAACTGAAATTACATGAATCCTTTGTGCGGGTTGACAGCAGTTGTTGCCAGGATGATTGCCCTTATTTTCCGAATGACTCATGCACTACTCATGTCTCTGCTGAACAACGGCTGTCGGTTGACTCTTTGGTCTGGTGTTTTGGTGTTTTGCCGCTCCAAAGCTCCTTGCTCACCACCCAGGTCCCACTATACCGAAGCTCCGTGGCACTGATGGCTGTGCAAAAATTCACGCTGCTTGGCTCCACCTGAGACATTTTTCTGTCTAGGGATGGATGGATGGAGAACCTCGACTGCAACAGCCACAGTTGATTGAATGTTGAAGTCCCAAAAGTCACTGCTTCAATGAACCTCAACTTACGTGACTTCTAGGACTGGACACCAAAAAACACTCCCTCAAGGTGCTGAAGGTGCCTCCTTCGCCCGCAGTTCACCCAAGAGCTGTAGGCTCACTGGCCAGTAAGTCGACTTCTCACTGGCACTCATCACCGAGTTGTACGTCCCAGACAGCGTCCCCAAGCGTCCAGAACCTGAACGACCCAGTGCCGTGGACCGACGGTCGTCGGCGCGAAGCAGTAGAAGGTGTCTTCCGATACGGTGTGGATATGTTTGGATAAATCATGTCTACTTCACGAATACTGAACTATAGGGAGATGATAAACAACATGGTGTTGATGGTCCTTAAACTTTCTTTCCGATCAGGACATCGACCCTTTTGGGGTTTCTGTCTTCCATGAGCTAGAAGATTATAGGACCGGATAACCCCACATTGATGACAGTTGGTTGGTGACAAGTAGTTTAGCACGCAGATCACAGCGGCACAGCGGCGGAGACCCAGCAGCCCCAGCCAGCGCCAGGGTGTACATCCGACCCCTCGGAGAGCACCAAGTACTGCGCCTGCCACGCAAATCACAGCGGCACAGCGGAGACCCAGCAGCCCCAGCCAGTGCCAGGGCGTACATCCGACCCCCTGGAGAACACCAAAGTACGACGCCTGCCACGCAAATCACAGTGGCACAGCGAGGGCGGGAGGAGGCGGAGGGCGGGACGGTTACAACACTAAAATATAAACCCCACACGTCAATGTGGGGCAAAACAAACAGCTCAGCCGACCGACCTGGCTTTGTGGGGACTCCGTCCAGCGCAAATCATCCAAGAAACAGAAGCGAAGTGACCATTCCCAAGCACCACGCTTCTCACAAGCGCTGACCAAAAGGCTGTGCGCAAGTGCGCTAATTCGTAACCCGACCTGGGCAGCCGGAATTGTTTATATCATGCGACTTGAAACTGCAACAACAGCAGTATAAGTGATGTATAAATGTACATATATCATCATATATCATTGTCATAATAACTAAGTTTATCTAATTTTAATCAACATTCATTACCTGGTTGATGGTTTCATGTCACTTGAAATGCCTCAGCCACTGGGTTCAATCATCAAAATACTTGAAACGATCACTGATACTCACTTATTAGCAGCGCCTGAAACTGGCCTGGACACTGAATAGACTTTTCGTTGTAGTCTTGTAGGGTTTCCCATGGTTTCCCTCGTTTTCCAGACAACCTTTTTACAGTATGTTCCTTTTTCCACTAGGTTCCACGTTGATCTAGCACCGTACAAGACCACAAGTGTCAATCTCGGTCCCTCATCGTCGACCCGGAGATAGGGGTCCAATAGGCTGAGCATTCCACGCGTGCGAGCTGACCTTTCCACAGGTCCCAGATGAAATCCTTGACCCACCACAAACAACCCCCCAAAAAGGACTCTTCAAGCCATCCATTGCTACCAGGTGCATGCATGGCTTCGGACAGGAAGGTCGCTGCCATTCGCCAAAAGCCATTGGTTGCAAAAGATGAAAGTGTCTCCTCGAAAAAGGCGGCAGCACCGGACATTGGTCCGGTACGTGAACCCGAATGCACGACCCACACCCAAGGACTAAAGGAATCCAGAAGCATCAGGCTGCTGGGTGCAAGTCGAAAAACCCCACTCTCTCTCTCTCTCACTCTTACCATCTATCCTCAAGTATAGTCCCATCCTGCACTAGATAGAATATGGGACAATCCCAAAACAATCCAGAATAGAGTACGGTCATGTTCTTGGGTTGGTTCATATTCCCTAGACCTCCAAGTACGTTGTGATAAGGTGTTTGGGGTTGGTTTAAAGGGTCCAAACACCTTCTTAGAAGGTGCTTGGAGCCCTAGGGATTCTATCTATACCTCCAGGATGTAAATAGGTGGAGATGAAGGTGGAACATCCTCAACCGCTCCAATGATCCGAATCAAGTCACATTCTTCCGCTCTTGCTTCAACCTGTCCGAACCACCATCCTCGTTGAACCAAGAAATCTCTCACCCATCCGGTCTCTTTCTCTGTTTGCGGAAAAGAAGCCGGAAAAGAAGACCCATATTACGCCAGCAAATTTACCCAGTTCATGTCCCAACATCAACAAATCACCCAATTTCACCACCAAAACCAGGCTCTTCTCCCTCCTTCTGGGCTCCAACTCGCCGCAGGAACTGCAGGGCCAAATGCCATGGCCCAACGCTCATGGCCGAAGACATGCAACCTCGACCCGAGGGGTCCGAGCCGGACATAGCCAACGCACCGATGAGGAGGATTAGGCATGATTTTGGGATGTGATACTGAGTTTGAGGGAAAGGGATGTTGGAAGTAGCTCTCATCTACCAACTGCTCAACAGTTCCTTTTAGTCTAACAATTACATATATTTTTGTTGATATTTGGTGTTTTTAAGGTTATACACCTTTCTCATCTACTGTCAATCTTTTCGAACAAACTTTTTTCACCCCAAAGTCGTCGCAAAGGAGCCGAGCACAAAGTCGTCGCTCTGCACGTTATCCGCCTCTGCCAAGCATTCCAAGTGCAAGCTCTTCTGCCAGGCCTTCCGCTGTGCCAAAGCGCTCTGCAAGGCACCCAAGTCCGCTAGGCGTAGCGGGGAACACACACGCAAAGCGCTCAGCAAAGACCCTTGAAGTTCCCAAGAGCTTCCTTGGACCGGAGTGATTTAAAACGAAACCTGATCAATTTAGGAAATATATGGAAATATGTAGATCGTATAGATCATTTGATTGCTTTTTTTTCAACATGTTTTTTTGTTTCGGGTCCTACGACGCTTGATGTGATCACACATCAATCACCCGCTCGCTTGGTATCTTCACCCGCGGCAGGCTCTTCCGACCGCGCTGATGACGTGCTTGGTGCGCATTATCTCCAGGATAGTTGAATGTGGCGTTCATTTGGGCGTCCAAAAGATATAGGTATATAAAATTGGGATGGGTAGGAAAATGGTGTCCAGCTAGCTAGCAACAGCATTCTTTTTGCACAATGTCCCCATTTTAGCGATGTACATTGAGAGAAGAAAAGAGGCCACTGCTGCCACAAGTGAGTGTTGACATTGGACTTCAAGATACAAAGTACTTTTGCGGGAAACCAAGCACCAACATCAAAAATGAAACTGTCCGCATCAAACCGCGCTGCAAGTCCTTCTCCCAGCCTGGATGCATGCTGAGCTACTGGTGGAACTGAGTAAAGCGGTGATTTCGATGTTGCTCAACTGCACCGCGGACTGACAGAGGCTCTTGCAGCATGCCTTGGCGTGTCGCAACAAAGATCCACTGGTTTGCAAACAACGTTGGTTTGAAACCTGCCGAGAAAACTGGTTTGCAAGGAAATGTTTAAACAACTCATTAGACTTCTGTTGCTCTTCCGGTATATCAACTACATTGCTTCGATCACTTCACTCCGTCGGTGGGGATGGGATACCGAACGGATATCGCACACGGACGGACGCGGAGCGGAAGCCTGCCTGCGTCGCACACGACGGACGCAAACCATGAAAGGTCCCGAAGGTCCCGAAGGTCCGCACAAAAGGTAGTGGTTCTGGAAGCAACTTTGCCACTGGAACACTGGCAAATGGGGACAAGTGTTACTAGCCACTTCAGGGCACATCACAGAATGTTGCATTCAATGGCGAGAGGTGCCTCGGTGCCTTTGGAAAAACTCTGTCCATCATTCCAAATGCCCAAAAAGAATCAAAAAGACAGGATGAACACTTCACCCCCAAGCATATTTGAGTTTTGAGTCGCGGAGAGTAGACATGCGAGAACCTAAGAAGCATCAATGGCGTCCATAATTATGTGAATTACCCACCACGGCTCGCCACTAAGATCGCAAGCCAAGGTTCTATGGCCAAAGCCCATCCTTTCCTGGGCGGTTTCTTTCGACTCCATCGCGTTTTGTTGACAACTGCTTGGAACCGTTTTGGGGGTTGGGTGCCTGGCAAGCCTCGAGTTGGATCTCGTGTCCTAGTGGACTACGCACCCAGAATATCTGTTTCTTGATGAACATTCATGTAAGCTGCTTGATCCTTCTGGAGTCTCAGATTGCATTGAACAGCCCAAAATAACCAAACAACCTCCATCTTCCGAACGACTTCTGGATCTCTTCCCTTGACATCGGCCAGTGGCCAACGTCAAGAACGTCAACGAACACGAGGACGACGTCGCTGAGACACAGCGACGATGAGTGGACAAATGTCCTTTCGGTCGGTGCAAGTCCGCAAGATCCAATTGGTGCACTGTACAATGTATTATACAATTAGATGTTTCTTTTTTATGAGAGAATGAAGCAGATCGTTATGTAATGTTAAACTTACAAAAAGACACACACATATATATATATATATAGTCTAATTCAAAACATATTGTTTGTATAACCATTCTTGTCAATGAATGTTTTCGACGCATTGTACCTCTGCCCACAGTCAAGTGTACATTCCGTATGGCTGCTTACCGCATCTTCTGGGGGTCGGAAACCCCGTATGGCATGGCCGAACCGCATGTCTGGCCTTGTTCGGTGCTTACGATGATGAACATGGGACTCCATGGCCAGCTCTTTGGTGGAAAAACACACAACAAAACAGAAGCCCTGTGAACTAAGCTGACTAGGACTCCAAGCCACTGTCTTTTTCTGGTCAGTGCCCAAGGCGCCAGGTCTCAAAAATACATTGATTACGCGAATAAAAACAAATATAGTAACATAATCAAAGTGGCATAAGGATCCAAAAAAACAAGATCCAACACAAAATCCAAACAAGTAATGAGGGATGGGGTGCGGTCTTTTTCATCATTCTACTGTCTCAAAATTGGCAAACACGTTTCACCCGACAGAATAGAACTATGGCCCGAAAGGCGGTGAAGCTCAGCTGGCAGAACTTGAGGTGACAGAACTTGATCAAAGCCCTAAGGAGCAATCCAAATAATCCAATCTCAACCGACAAGACTCGTTTCTTCTCTTTTCACCGAAATTACCCATACCTCAAATTTTCAAGACACCCTTCCCTGTGGAGCTGGGAACACCAGCACCCTCATTGCACCCCGAGTCTCTTCGTGGTCACCCTCAAAGCGCTCCGTGGTACCACCGGGAGGAACGCCTCGCCCAGCGCGAGCCTCCAGCAGTCGGGGCCGTTCGCGCAGCTCTGGAGCAAGGCCTCGCGACGTGATGTGTCCAGGCAGTCCAAGGACTGGACGTGATGTGATTTTGGCACCTAGTAGCTTCTAGTTACTAGGAAGCTTTCTTGTGACCGTTTGAAGGTCCAGGTGCCGACGGGACTTTGGCCAATGCTGGCGAAGCTGGCGGTGGAATGGGCGTTCCATTCATGAAAAGGGTTCTCCTTTGAATCGCTTTGCTTGGAAGGTGTTCTGGCTGGCTTGATTCGTTGGGCCTCCCCAATGATTCACTACTTGCACTCAAAGAAAATCCGGCTGCTGAAGGTTCCAGTTACGTCATGGTACAGCACAAGTATAGCACCACGACTACGACTTTGTATATGCAAGAATCCTCTTCCATCTCTTCCCCAGTCAATCAGTCAATCATTCACGGGTGAGCAAGCTCACCCCCCCCAAAAGACTTCCCGAAGGAACGTCGGGAACACTTTTAGTTTCTATTTACTTGGCGAGTCCCCAGCGACGATATGATATGGCCCAGCGACGGCGACGCCGCAGGCTTCGCTCGAGTGACGTAAGAACCACAAGCGACGCAGGCTTTGTGTAACAAGCCCAGGAGCTGACAAACTGGAGCGACTGGTATGGCTTACAGCGCCATGCCGCAGCGCGGGCAGAGCGGGCTGCAGGCAGTGGATGGCCATTTCCCACTGTTTCCTCTCCTTGAATTTGATATGATTTGAACAAATCAAGAACTGGAAGCATTGCTAAGCATCACCAACACCGTGCCAACACCCCCAACACTCCAGAGAATTCCCACATCTTCGAGAAGGTGATTATTCTCCCACGAATCCATGACCTATTCCCTCTTTTCCAGCACACGAATCTTCCAATCTGGCTCTAAGGTTCAGAGAAGCTTGCGATTGCCGCGGATCCTGAGGTGAATGCTTCTTCTGAGGCCTCCAGACTTTGCAAACGCATGAAGCGCAAGAGCTGCACCACCTGCTGGGCGCGGCGCGGTGCTGTTGAAAATAACAGCTAAGTCACTTGAGGTACCAGAGCATTATATCACTAGCAAACACCAAGTCACTTAAGTCTACGAGTCGACGAGCAGTGGTTGGAAATGATGAATTACAGGATTAGTGTACAGTACAAAAACGTAAAGGTGACAATAATCAATCACACAAATGCACACAGTTGTGCCTAAGGTTTATGACGTCGCTCAAGGCGGCAGTGCCGCAGCAAATGGCATGGGCTTTTGGTGTTATCGAACAGTGATCTCATTCAGTGTTTGGGCTGTGTCCTGAACTACCTGAGAAAACAGATTCTCATTGCCCTTGCCTTCAACAGTGCCCTATGCATGTTCTGACTACTAGGCAACAGTCTGGCCTTGTCAAATCCCAGCTCCAACCAACCCCAACAGAAAACCGAAACAGTACGATAGACTATGATGTATGTATTTAATACTTTGTATAACATCTAGTTGACATGATACTCGTGCTGCTAGAAGAGTTCGCGGTCGGTCTAACAGGTACATTAACTAAAATGAAAAACATGCATTGAGTCTGACTTTTGCACTCCATCCTTGGTTGAACCATGTTCAACCTTTCCCTATCAAGGTCCAGGTTGCTCAGTCTCTCAGTCTCTCCGTACGCCGTACTGTCTCTTTCTTGCGTCCCACCTCTTTCCACTGGGAAGCTCTCTCACAGGATTGCAACGGAAGCATTGCCACGGAGCTCGAGACAGCATGTGACCCAGCATTGCACAGGATTTCCAGCCCCAGGGGCCACAAACGCTGCGAATGGTCACTGCAAGCACTTAGGGCTGCACGAAGCGTGACCTTGGCTGCGCATTTTTTTGTTGCATGTTCACCACTTAGCATCTATACTTGCGCTCAGTGTCTCCCTGGAATTCCATTAATGACCCCAAACCATATAGAACCCAAGCGACTACCTACGACTAGGTCAATGACCCAGCTTCCACCCAAGTTCGTCCATCCGTCCATGTTCGACCTGGATCAGACGCTGATTTCTGTGAATCAATGAATTGGTTCAAGGGAACATCTGCAAACCCATGAAAACTCACCCCCAAAGCTATATGGCTTTCCCTTAAACCAATCCTGAAAATAAATGTTCCATGATTTGCCCGGCTCCTTCTCAAATCTCAGGAGCTGAGTTCGCCTCGTCTCCCAACTCCCGCAGCAGCACCATGGCCTCTGCCCAGCGCTTCGCCCGGGCGAGCGCACCCAAGACAGCATTGGCCTGGGGCGAAACAGGACATCGAAAAAACCTTTTTCGGGGTGTCCCAGCCTGCCTAACTTGCCGATATTGGCTGCCTAACTTGCCAGGTTTGCTTCTCATCATGATAATACTAAACTAATATTATATGTAAATGTGGAGAACTACGACACTCTGTTCGAGCCGGTGCCGACTTGCGGTTTTCATCAGTTCAATCTGGAGTATTATGGGACTGGTTAGGGGTTGAGGCTGATTGAGACTAGATCGATACTTGTGAATCTGGCAGCACTTCAGGGACTAATGCAGTCCTGAGCAAGGGATGCACCAGCTAGGCCATGAAATACCAGCAAGTCAACTGCCAGGGAACCTCATACATTCTCCTAGATCACTCAGCAGGTTGCACCTCCCTAATTGCAACCTCCACCACCGTGCCATGCCCCAATCCGTCAACACGTCCCTTCACCAAGAGGCTGCTATGATCGAGGTGTCCAATCGCTTCCAGGCGATCGAATGGAAGATGCTGAGTGCCTCCTCCCAGCGATGTCCTAAAGCACAAGCTTTGATGCTTGCACCACAGGTCACCATGGTGATCTCCAAAGTCCGCTGCTGAAGATGATGGAAAAGCCTCAGGGCTGCTCGGGGGAATTCATGGGATTTGAAGGATGTGTGGGTGTGGGGTCATGGACAAATGTCCATTCGACCTTCTCGAAGAACAAGATCATCTACATTCATATATATATATATACAATTATCTACATTAGATGGGGAGGAACATACCTGTTCCACACCGCCGCGAAGCGAACACCTATCTACTTCATGGACTTGGAAACAACTCAAACATACTCTAAACGTTCAAAGCCTCTGCCAAAACCGGCTCCACTCAATGCATCGGTGTCGACTCAATGCATCGACTAAATAGATCGACTCAACCTCGAAATGAATGGGTTTACCCCAGCATCCTCCGTAATGAACACTGTTTTTTTCAGCTCTAAATGCACTGGGAATGTCCACCAGTTCTGCGCTAAAAAGCATATATAGGGAGCATGTATTTCAAGACACACACGAGCCTACACATGGGTGTGTAGTTTAAAATAGGGAGAGCTCCCAGGCAACAACCCGCCGGAGGAAGGGAATTGGTTGGGGGGTTCCCAGTAAAAGATACACTCCCATTTCACTCGACCAGTCACTCGAGAGCCTTTGGCCATTGTGTGCCCTTCCCCATCGCATGGATCATGGCATTCTCCACGACGATATCTGAGGACTCCAGTCCCTAAAGCTGCCGGAATGGTCCAACATCACAAAGCGTCACCCTTTTCCCAACCAAATCCATCCAAATCCAACCCTTCGATCTGAATCATGGGCCATTGATATGCTTTTGTTTTGATCATGGCCGTTGATGGTCTTCCATGCCTTGATTTGATGTTGATATGTTTTGACATTCATCACAAGCCAACCATGCATTTTGCCGATTCATCTGACCTCCATTGGGTGTACATTTGTGCTTGTGTTGCTTGCCCTTTTGGGGATCAGAAGGGATGGACCTCCCGGTTGTTTTTTTTTCATCATTAGTATTTCTTCTACGTGGGGGAAAGCAAACCTTTGTTTTTGGCTGGTCCTTCACCTTCTGCGATGCGCCGAAGGGGCTTCCACCTGGTCAATTCCCCTCCCGCCTCGTACACCTTGAGAGCCGCCTGCCAATCTCGCGCGGTGCCACACGCAGCGATACTCGAGCTCGCGTCTCGCATCATCGACCAACCTCAGGAAATGAAGGTAACCGACATGTGGTGCTAAGTACTCACGAGCAACTCGGAGCAACTGGTAAAGAAAGAAGCAACTCGCTGGGAACCTAAGAGCAATGGCCTTCAACCTAATAGCGATGGCCCCCAACCTAAGAGCAATGGCCTCCAACCGAATATCGTTGGAGCCATCTCAAAGACGTGTAATGAATACTTAAGGGTCCTCAGGCTTGATGTCTCGCATTCCAAAGCTCCAAGAAGCAACCATGCCTCGTATACGCTCCAAGAAAGGGCAGTGCAGCTTGCTAGCTTGCTTTGGCAACGTATATATATATATATATATAGCTTTCATATATATATATATATATACACCGATCGGACCCCATATAGTGACGATTATATACATATAGCCCTCATGAACTTGTAACTGTTCGTGATGGTTTCATTCACAGCCTCGCAGAATCCGCCTCCGTCCAGGTTTTTTTTGGAGGCAACTTTCGTCCACCCTCTTTGCAGCTTGACAACCATTCGCACCAACAAGCAAACACCGACCGATGTTTTTTTTTTGCGTGTTTGAAATATGTTGTCTTGCTTTGCTCCCAAAACTAAATGGGTCCGAACAGCACCCAAACAGCTGCTAGAAGGACGAAAGCAGCCGTCAGAGGGAGTAGTAGGGTCAATTTGGGCTCCTTTGGTGGCTGATGGTGGCTGTTCTCATCTGTTGTCTTACTTTGAATTTCTGTGCAAGGGTTTGAAACATGTTATCAAAAAACACTTGGACCATCTTGGACCCTACTTTTCACCGAATCGATGCTAAACCGACCTCTTCAGCGTGAGTGAAAAACCGGGTTGTTGTTTTTCTTATAAAGAAACAACACACAAATTCATTTGTTGATTTTCGCTACTACCAAGAGTCCCTCTGCGGACGACACTTCTGAAGTGTCATCGCCGTCGTCTCAAACTGACTGAACGTCGTTTTTTGAGGCCTCAAATGCCTGTCCCATCAGCCTGACCGCTATGACAAGCCGTGCAGCACAGCATGGCGCATGGTGCAAAGGGCCTCATTCACTGGAGTCATCACATTGTGGGCAAGAACGAATCGATCACTTTATGATTTTACCGCAACTTGCCGACAGGAACAAAGACTCAAATATTCTTTTCAGCTTCCATGCACTGAACAACCAAGCTGATTTTCCAGGTGGTACGAGGAGAGCAGCTTAAGGAGTGGATCAAGTGAGAGATAAGTCCCGCTCATCGAACCCTATTGATACATTGACATATTGACCACATTTGACCACTATGTACCGGTTAGTTAACACATGGAAACATATAGGACGATTCCACACGGTAAAGCAGGCGTCTTTTTCCG